TAAAAAAAAAAAAAAAAAAAACGGTGAACGCTTATGACGCGGTGCAAAAAATTTTATCAAGTTTTTCTTCCAAAGTATATAAATACATATATATTATATAATATAAAATAAAAGACTGCATTAACCGATGTTTTGATTTTGCATTCGCGTCGCGTACCGGTTGAGCACAAAAATCAAATCAAAGTGGAGAAATAATAATAGTAATAAATAGCAAATAAATAAAATCATAATCATTCAACGAGAAACTATAATATATACACGTATGTAAGTGCAGATATATCAAAAAGTTTCCTCGAACGTTTATCTCTTGTAAAATTCGAATTAATTATGTATCACACTACACGTATATGAGCACAATTATAGAATGGACATTAATAAAATTATGATAATATTGCGATAAATAATAGTTTGGTGGCTGACTTTGATTTGTACAACCATATGTACACGATAATTAATTGTATACGATTTGACGTTACGATAAATTACTTAAGTGTAGTAAAATAGCTACAAAAGTGTGATAATTTTGTTGTTTACACCCGAAAAAAAAAAAAAAAAATCAAATCAAATCAAATCAAATGAAAAAAAAAAATGATCAAAATGAACAAGTAAAATCAAATTTGTGTCATTGACGTATTTCGTTTCGATCGTACAAATTAAAATGAGAGTAAAAAAACAAAAATCAATGTATATGTTTCAAGAACAATGAGAAATAAGTCAGTGCGATTAATCTTCCAGTTTCTAGCAAGTAGATAAAAAAAAAAAAAAAAAATGCCATATCACCCAGAAATAAACGTACATGCGTAAACAAAGTTGAAATTTATCGAATAGATCCACGTGAGGTATAGCATTGACTTGCGTTATGTATATGAACTGATTCCCTCGAATGCGATTTTACTCGTCTAATATTCTCCGACAAGACTCTTCCACGATAGCATTTTTCTCTCGATGTAGAATTGTTTCGCAGTTTGATTGCAAATAATATTGTAAAATAGCGCTTATGATGTTAAAATCAGAAAGTGAACTTTTACGATTGACTTTGTTGGACCTTATATACATGTGGTCGTAAAAATTGATAAAAAACGTCGTAACAACTGATTATAATTTTAATGCTGTACTTTACTTTTGATTGTAACAGAATAACAAAAAATTAGTGAAAAGTTGATACTGACATTTGTCAGGAAAATTTTTGATGATGTATTGAGTATACGTAAATAACAGTATTGTGAAAATTAACGTTGTACATTGAACGAAAATTGCCAACAAGAGTTCTTTTTATGGAAAAAAAATATTAAAAATTTATTTTTAAATTTGTTCCATTATTTGTAACAACCATATGTTGCTCTGCAGACATAAATAAGCACTGGAGAAAATGATGAATCTCAAAGAAAATCTTTTAAGACGATAACGATTATCCTGCCAAATCGATTGATTTGCGAGAAATGATAAGTTTTTATAAAATGTTTCAACAACTACAATATTATTACGTATATTGCAAATTTTAATCTACCACGATAGAGTTTATTTACGTTTTTATATAAACATAATATTCATTATTAATTTTTAATGTTAATTTTTCATCATAACTTAAAAAAAAAAAAAAAAAAAAAAAAAAGTGTGACAAGAAGACATTGTACTTGTATATAGAGGAGGGCACCTCTCTCCTTCTCCTTCGTCGTCTCCTTGGGGCTCCTTCGGGCGACTTCTCGCTCGCGCCCGGACTCCGGGACGTCCTGGGCCATTTGCATATCCCGTGGAGCCGGTACACTTATATATATATACTGACTTACTTAGGAACGAGTCGAGCGCGCGCTCATGCTCATATATACTCCCCTGATTTTTCGTCTGCTCGTCTGTGTGTATGGGTATACGTGAGTGTGTGACCTCATGTAACGGTCGCGCCCGCCAAATTGCTAATCGAGCGTGTGCATATATATACATACATATATACCACGGATAACGCGTATGGATTACAATTGCACTAAACCAATTTTTAAGGATAATAAGGATAGCGAGGGATAGTTGAAGATGATGCCGTGGTATATGTTACATTTTATAAATTATGTTCGTGAAGAATTTTTTTTAAACAAGTTATCTCGTTTGGCCTGAAATTTTATAGGGTAATTTCAAATTTATGCTCGAATCTTATGGTTTACATAAAATAAGGAAAAAAATTAAACCCTGCGATTGCAGAACTTGAAAAAAGTATCATCTAATTTAT